TAAATAAAAATATAATACAATTTTGATCCTTGTATGATGTCTAAAATAAAATTTATTTTTCTATAGTTGTGTCGATGATGAAAGATAGATGATCTTAGCTAATTCTTTTTTGTTCATTTTATCATAATTGCATTTTTTCTCCCTCTACATACAGACAAGAGAGATGAAAGAGTATATAATAATTCACTATACCATTAATATTAAGCTGTCAAGAACAAAGATTAAACATGACGATTGATGACGCGTTACGGAATAACGACGGTGATAGTAGTCATCTTAGTTAAAATTATTTTTTTAAATAACATTTCTGACAGACTCATCTTACTGTAGAGACAAAGAGAGAATGAGTATCAAATCATATGATGATTATTGCTGACACACCCTAATTGAACAAGTTTTCGTTAAAAAAGAGACATAGAAAATAATAGACTAATGAATTGACAAAGAGAGAAAAAGAGAGAAAAGAGTTTGTTTAACTATATTTATAGCGATAATAGAAAGAGAGAGAGAGAGGAAGAGAAAAGTTGGAAAGACATGATAGAATGATGTTAAACGATTGTCATCATTTTTCACTCTTCAAGGTCAAATGTGAGTGCGTTATGGTAAGCCCATCGTTTTGTTATCTATTACACAATCAGTTTGTCATTGTAAAAATCACAATATTATGTCATCATTTTCAGAAAAAATTTATCATTACTTATGAAAAAATTTAATAGTTGATAAGATTAACATATTTCCATAAAATCTCAATAATATTCACAAACAGGGCGTTAATATTCTCTCTCTTTTTCTCTGATCAGAATATGTGTTCAAATGTATAACTTTTGCTTCATACACTTCACAACTATTTGAATATGTTCAATTGCACCGTAAGTTTAATAATGCAAATCGTATTAGTGTGAGAATATGTTTATTTTGCTGTCGAGGTAGATGTGCATAGCTAATCTGTGAACATCTAAAAATTTCTATTAATAGATTCAAAACAAATAAATATATTGTTTTCATTCGTGTTTTATGCCTAAAGAGGTGTGAGAATAAAAAAACTGTTATTAATGAGCTGATTAACTCAAATGGATTATATACTATTTGAATAGCTGTGAATATTATAAGTAAAAAATAAATTGCATCATATTTATAATTTTTTAACATAGTACAGATTATTATTGGTGATATAATCGATGAAAACAATAATAATTACCCAGACAACTAGATAAAAAACAGAGCGTGTTAAATTTCTTCTTTTTTTTCATTGTTACTTTAGTTCTACAGCATCTGAAATTAACAATTCTGTTATCGGTAAGTGAATACACAATGTTTTAGAGAACAAGTATGTATACATAAATTTGAACAATGGAATATTTGTTAGCACAAAGATTGTTCATAAATTATATTAAAATAAGTTTTTATTTTTTGACACTTCATAGAGTCTAATAGCATCTCCTTGTCAATATATTTGAACAAGTTTTTATATTTTTATGTTTTATCGACAAAAATCATATTGAATAAAAGAAGAAGTGTATTTATTGAATATAATAGGTGATCGAGAATAGACAAAGAATATCTTTTCGATTAGTTTTCAATGAATAAAAATAATAAACGTAAGAATTTATACAGTTCTAATATTGCACTTCATGTTTTCATTGGAAAAAAACTTTAAAATTTTAATTTATGACAATTAATACTCGTGAATGGACACGTCTAGAATGTCGAGTGCAAAAAAAGTCATGATAAAACTTTAAACAGTCTATGTAGACGGTAAATTGAATATAAATAATGCTAAGGTGTCAAAGTATATGTTCTACGTTTCAAAAAAATATTAGCCAATGTTTTGATGCAGTAGCAGTCTGTATTAGTCTCTTTTTTGAGTTTAACATTGTATCTTCACTCAGTTTGTTTGCTAATAACGGCGGATATTAGGCGGAATTTTTTGTTTACTTTTAAGATTTTGTCAAGCTCACAAAAAAAGCGTTTTTTTTTTTTCTTTCACCGAGAAGTTGTTATATGATTTACATAATATTAATCTCTTATTTTCACATCGGATTTTGCTACCTTTTAAAAGTTTTTTTTTTTTTTCTTCTTGCTATTGACAAAATATATTATGGAAATTTCTTCTGTTCTGTAGGGAGTGTAAAGTATAACGAGTGATAATGGAGAGTATCATATTGTTCAAGATGCCTGCTGCAGGTAACAGGTAGGATAAAGAAGAAATGCTTATGACGCGTCAGATATAATAGAAAGAATAGTAGTGCGTGAATGTGTTCATACAAGAGTGTAGACCAATTTTTCTTTAACGACTATTATTATTTCATATAGACACACTATAGCACATACGTATTGACATTCTATACCTAACTGTATGTATACATATTAATGTAAATTTTAAACCTCAGCCTTGGGGGGACTGACAAGTTCAAAATCGTTTCTTTTTACTTTGTTAGCAACCCTATTATTTTTTCTAATTCTAATCTGAATGAAAAGTCGATGATCATTTTATAAATGTGCATCCGCTTTGTAGTCTAGTTTTAATCAAAAATAAAAATCAAAACTACTACTTTGATATTACTAACTAACTGAATAAATTGACGTACGATGTGTGTAAGTGTGTAAATTTTACAGATGAATATAAACGATAGATAAGAGAGAGGGAGAGAAAGAGAGAGAGAGAGAGAGCGTGTGTATATAACTATAAAGTCATTTAAGGTCAATTTTTGTTCTTTTATATTTGAGCTCAATTATTTCTTTTTGACTTAAAACGATTGTCATTGAGCATGTATACAACAGATCCGAAACGAGTTAACAATGCATAACGTTCTGTAAGTCATCGCGATGCGTTGATAAGAAAGTTTTGACTGATAAAATCAATCAGTCAATGTACAATTTCAACAAGATGTATCATGTCACTCGTTTCTTCTAGAGATGTACATTAATAAATAAAATTACCAAACATTAGTTCGATTTTGTAACTAAACACCGTTAGTTTCCTAGAAAAATTGAAGAAGTTGAAAATTTTCTAGTTAAGACCATAAAAAAGTTAACCAAATGCTCCTTTTACCTGTTTAACCAATTCAGTGAAGTAACTGAAAATGGCTGCTAGTTTTTTTCATCTAACTTCGTTCTTTGATTCTGCTATTTAATGGAGTGACTTTATTTTTTTTAAATAGCTGAATTTTTATTTAAAAAAATACAGCAAATCGGGCTTTCTCCCATTACATACTGCCAAGTTTTTTTATTCTCTTTTAAGTTTCTGATTGATATGTTTCTAAAACTGTTTGATGTCAAGGTAATTGAGCAGAGTGAAAGAGTGTGTATGATATGATGTTCTCGACATTCATATACATTGTTTATTATTATTTTATTGAGTTAGTAAAACTGTACAATTTTTTTTTGTTTTTCGTTTTTCTAATGCCAAATGTTTATTTTACTTAGTAATAAAAAAAAAATACAAAATAATTTCAATACCATGTTTTTATGTCGGCGCGTACATACTGTACAATTTTTAACTGTCTATATATATGAGTTTCTTTCGTTTTTTTCTTCTCTGATAACCGATCAATGAATCTAATTGAAAAATATGACTATAGTACGGGGAAGTGCACAGGATAGACGCTAGACATATATTTCTTCTTAAGCGCAAAAATATAAACGGTGAAGTAAGAACGATTAGATAAGTGTTAATATCTCTAATATAAACGGAAGAGAGAAGAAAAGAGTTCTATGCGTGTGTTCTTTAGTATATATACATAAGGAATCTGTTTGAGTGATAATTTACAAAATAATTCTACTAATAACATTAGAGAAGATGATTATTAATTTGATATGTCCAACACCTTATGCAATCAATATGAGAAGGAGAAAGATAGTGAAATGGTTATTTATCTTTTATCTTTTTCATTCATTATTTTTTCTCTTCTCTTTGATTTATAAATATCTATCTGCTGTGCTGTATATTATTCTCGTATTGTACAAAAGTGTGAAGTAGTGTAAAACAAGAGAAGAAATCATAATAATAATAATAATAATAAAAATGAACAAATGAATTTTTATTAGATAAGAGACTTTTTGTTTTGTTAACATGCTTCTTCCTTCCTTTTTAGTATAGTTTCCTGTAATTGTCAAAGAATAGGAGAATAACGGATGTAGAAACTTTCGTTCTTGTTCTCTGACGAATTTCAGATATTCCCATACTAATTCTAGACCTATTTGATTTCCATTCATTTATCGTGAGATAATCATTGACATAGAAAAAAAATGAGATAAAAACTCATATCGATGTTTCTTCTTTCTCATTAAACAATTCTATAGTTAGTATTATAGCTCAATCAAGTACGATAACTATGATAGTTGATGGGTAATCTTCTTAAAATTTGCTGTTATGAAGTTTCATTTCGAATATTTACATGTAACAAAGAGATATGTAAATTGTTCATTATTAGTTATTTTGTTCTTACGTGAACTGAAACAGACACACAAAACTATATAATCGTTTTTGAGTTGACATGAACAGTGGCGATTAATAATCATACTGTTGTACAAGTCTTTGTCTTTGCCCATAATAATAATCATGAAAAGAGACAACAGCAGGACATTGTCGATCTCTCATTTCTCTTTTTTTTACTTACTGCTTTAACTAATTATAGATTGGACACATTATTGTAATTGACTATGACCTTATACATCTATATATAGTATAAATAACCCTCTGCATAGAGTGAAACAAAAAAATATATATATAAAAATAAAGAAAAGAGAAAACTCTGTCGTACAGATCATATAAACATAGTGAGAGGAACAAGAGAGAGAGAGAGACGAATTGAGCTTCTGAGTGCAGTTTCTTGGAATAAAAACAGAATAGAATATAAGAAGAATACATATATGCATAAAATTAGTGTCAAATAATTCTATCGATGTTTAGTATTCTACCTGTTACAGGCCAAGTATTTCAAACATATTTTTACATTTTTAGAAACGAAAATATTATCATCGATAAGAAGATTTAATCAATGATGATGACTAACTCAATGACTGGTAAGTTTATTGATATTTATGTGACCTTGCTTCTTTAAAAGCATATAAAAAAATGCTTTAAATATAATTTATATATCAGATCAATGGTAATAAAATAGAAGAGAAAGAGTTCTATAAAGAAGTTATTATCTCAATAAATCTATTAAATAATTCATTTTGCTTGTTGAAATTATTTTCTACACGTTAGTATTAAAGAAACCAAATGAACTGCTATTCTTCATAAAAATATACGAGTTATAAAAATATAGTGAGATCTTCGAATCCTCTATCAATCAGTTTCTGAAATGTTTCATATAGACCAATTGCCGAATAGTTAATGATTATTTAATATAAAACGCACAGAGAAAAAAAAATTAGTTTTACCCAAAAATAATATTTATTCAATCACATGCGTCAGAGTAAAAGTTTACTTTGTATGATAAAAGCATTTTTTAAGTTCAAATAGTTTTTTTTGACATGCTTTTTTCTCGTTTTTGTTTAATATTTACTGTTTCTGATAAAATTTCGAAATTGTTTTCGTTTAAAACACTTATCTATTCTTCTTCCGTAAGATGATCAATAGCTATCAATTCAATAAAAAGTCTTGAAAATGCTTTGGAAGATATTTTCTTTAATACACTTATGTTGTTTATATCCTTTCTTACATGTATGTAATTGTTCTTGTCAAATTTGGAATTCGTGTATTGTAAATTGATTTGATTAGCACCTTCTTGTCAAATCCTGATAATTATGCGCTTTCATTCACTTGTTATTATTATTATTTGATTACCACTATTCTCCTTCTCTTTTTCTGCTTTTATAGAGACAAAGTTAAACTATGTAATTTTTTACTATGTTTGCTAACACTTGTAATATACATCAACAATGACAATCTTCATCTATACACATATTATAGTAGTTGTCTATTTGTTGATGTTAGTAGTCTATTGCAGAGAAAGAAAGAAGAGAATATGTTTGCACAACAAATTGATTTTTTAGGCGATATATAACAAGTGGTAATGGTGTTTTCCTTTTTTATTTATTTCGCAAGAGAATGAATATCACTGTGGGAATGGAATACATATTTTGTCACTACTTTGACAATGACACAACCATATACATACATATATAATCATCACTTACCAAGGACAATTGATGAAGAGACAGCTGTATTATACGTGTCATTGGAATTCCTTCTCGCTAATATCTCTAACTTTGAGCATTTTTGTCATGATTCCTATCTCTATCATTGGTACTATTAGATGAGACTGTTATTAAAGACCTTCAATTCGAAAAAAGAAGTGTCAAAGTCAGTTGTTTATGGAAATAGACGTTATGCATATCGGTCAACTTTAATTATGATCATTCAAAAAGCACTTTGCTTTTTCGTTTAACTAAGATGTAAATTAAATTAAAGCTTCGTCAAGCAATTGATAACTTTAAAATTTATGAAATATCGTATGAGATAGTACGATATCCCTTTTTATCTGTCTACTACGAAAGTATAGCATTATTTATTACATTTTCATTTATGCTTGCTTTAGTATTATTTTTCCTATTGGCATTGTATTGGACGTGTACAAGAGGTGATATACCATCGATTATCATTAACCAGAATCATTACCATTCACAACAACAAATCAATATTAGGTAGATAAAACGTTAATTTCTTGATGTGTTAATCGACGACATTTATCGTATCACGCATATGAAAAAATGAACTGTTAAACATCACGATAGCTAGATATATTATATGATTGATTAACAAAACGATTTTTGAACAAATATTATTTTGCAATGCTCAAGGGTTTTTCTATTGATTTAATCAAGAGTTAGAGGGAAAAAAAATGACGAAAATTCATGATGATGAGATCTTTTCTATCTTTTAAGAATATACTATAATATCATCATTAATTCAAGATATTGTGCTGAACAATAAGACACATGATTACTAAAAATGACTTTAGGGAATACAGATTACCTGATCGAGATTAAGTATTCGAGATCGGACTAGAAATTAGATAAGAGTTGACTAACTATACATGCATATTATCTAATTTAGTACAATTCAATGGTTAAAACGTGTGTCGAATATAACTGAAAAGAGTGGAAAATCAATTATATTAGAATGTAAAGTAAACTCAACCTATCAACCAGTAACATTTCAATGGTATAGATTTAATGCGCCAATTGATTTGAAAAAATATCATCTGAATCAAACAGCACTATCGTCAACGTATGTTGAATAAAACAATATAATACTCGTTTGATGTGGATCAAATGTTCTTACTTTTTTTTAGCATACGACTATATCATCTAAGAGAATCAGCCGCTTATACGTGTGAAGCGTCGAATGGACATCAAACAATAACATCAACTGGACTAATCCATGTTCAATCAGGTAATAGAAAATTATTGAAGTAAAATGAATTATTTTTGTTTACAATATTCTATTTCATGTTTCTAGATAATGTCGACATCCCTAATTTTAGTAATTCAGAAGAAGACGATGATTCGTGAGTAATTTAACATTGAGGCATGTGAGGATATTGATCATTTGGTTTTTTTTAGTCTCCCATCCGCAGATTTTCAACCTGTCATTCTTACAAATAATGACCTCTTAGAACGACAACAACAACAGCCAAAATGTGAATTATATCGTGGTACGATGTGTCGTTCGGTTATTGGTGATCGATACATTTCAACTGAACAAAATCAAGATGATATTGAACGTGGACTAAGAGGTAAGTTCATTCTCAACAATACAAGTGAATTTATTTCTATATTTTTTTCTTGTTCTATAGATGGTATAGAATTATTAAAAAGTCATACATTACCAAATGAATGTCGCCGTTTAGTATTGCCATTGATATGCTTATTTGCATATCCAGTTTGTGATAATGAGCGAATAAATACGAGACCTGTTTGTAGACGAACATGTGAATATTTTCAAGATGTGGCATGTTCTACAATTCTTGAACATAGACCATATTCAAATCGTAAGCTAAACAAAAATTAAGTATGATAATAAATTAAGCCGTTCGTTCATTTTTGTAGAAGTGTTTCAAAATATTCCAGCTTGTAAAAGTTTACCACCGGCGAGTGATGATTCATCATGTATTAGTTTAGATAAAGATGGAGATACAGCTAATGGTATGTTCTTATAGTGTATATAAGTATTCATTTTTAATTTTTTGTTATTTATTTTTCAAGGTCAAGATTGCTACACAGAGAGTGGCCAAAATTATACTGGTCTTCGAAATCAAACAAAATTCACTCGTCCCTGTCTGAATTGGCATGATGTTTGCAGAAGCGAAACTGATAGGGATGACTGTTCAAAAGAAGGTAAGCTGAAGAGTAGCAGTTAGTTAAATGAATAAAATTGTATTCTCTTATGTTTTAGCTCGTCATAACTATTGTCGAAATATCGAACGTTTAGAAGCTGAACCATGGTGTTATGTGCGACGGAATGATGGCATTGAGCGAGAAATATGTGGACTATTAAATTGTGGTAAGCATGTTCCGTTGTTGATACTGAAGTCAATACCTCATAAACTTTAATGTTCAACTACGGACACCACATACTCTGGAAAAATATAATGAAGATATTTTTGTTAGTCTCTATTGAAACTATATGCAGTTTTTTTATCTCATTTTAGCTATGATTTCATCGGTTCGAATTCATCCTTCCGATAATTTACTTATTATCCTACCGACTATTCTAATCCCTCTCTCACTTTTGCTCATATTTATTATCATATTTTGTTGTTGTCGACGTTCTACAGCAAGTTCAAGACATTTATCTTCTTTTTCATCTTCGACTCCTATTAAAAAGACGTCGTCATCTTTGACACCCCCTAGTTCACCGAAGCAAACACATCAATATTATTCAAAAAAGAACTTGATTCTCACTTCTTCATTGTCATCAGCCGCTACTAATACAACTCAAACACATCCAACAAGACAAAATACTCTACTTAAATCTAACCAATATACAAGAATTCAAAATAATACTAATAATAACTGCGAAATTCCGTTTACAAACATAAGATTTTTACATGAATTAGGAGAAGGTAAAACAAAACCACATCATAGAAGTGTTTCTAAACATCTTTCTTTAATTTTACTTTGTCTAGGTGATTATGGTCATGTTTACCAAGGTGAGATAATTGGTTTCGATAATTCGTCGTCGATTCCCACAAAATGTTTAATAAAAACATTACATACAGACAGTAGTCAACAATTGAAAGATGAATATGCACGTGAATTAGAATTATTTTGTCAAATAAAACATTCGAATATATCCTGCCTACTAGGTGTTAGTGTTAAACCTCAAGATAGCATGATGATGATGTTCTATGAAAGATTAAATGAAGGTGATTTACACGAATATTTGCTCCAACGTTCAGCTTATACATCGACCATTACACATCATACACGAGATCTCAATGATTTCATTTTTATTTCAACTCAAATTCTAAGTGGTATGTCGATGAGATTTATATTTTAGCAGATAAATTCACACTCTAGGATATTATTTCACCTTTTAGGTATGATTTATTTAACATCACGTAATTTTGTACATAATGATTTATCCTGTAAAAATATTCTTATATCGGAACATATGGAATGTAAAATATCAAATATTGGTCGATGTAGAGAGAAATATCGTGCAGATTATTATAAAATAGCTAACAGATGTTTACCCGTCAGATGGCTCTCGCTCGAAGCATTACTGACCGGAGTTTATAGTGAAATGTCAGATGTATGGAGCTTTGGAGTTTTACTATGGGAAATGTTTTCATATGGACAACAGCCATATCATGGAGCTACAAGCCCTGAAGGTAAGCAACCACAACTGTAAAATAAGGGCACTGTCTGATGATTCATACCAAGCATCCACTTTGTTAGCGGATGATAATGTTTTTCTACACTTTTCTCAACTATATGTTCTCTATCAAAAATGACATTGAGATTTAAAATTTTTCGTTTTAGCTATTGAAATGATTCGTGATCGTAAATTACTATCATGTCCTGTAAATTGTCCGAAAAAAATATATGCTCTAATGTGTGATTGTTGGTCAGAATTAATCGAACTGCGCCCAACATTTTCCGACATTTACAGTCGATTTAAACAATGGGAACAAAAATCACCGTCTAATACATCGTCAGTTGTCCATGGTACATGTATAAATTCGTCTCTACCAGTGTCGTCTGTCAGTAGTGGTTCAAGTAGTGGAATGAATCATCATAACCATAATGCAGCATTTATCAGAAGTAGTTTAAATACAATATTAACGACAAACACATCAGATCATCAGTTACCAGAAACATTTGTAGCGCAATCGTCACCTTCGACATCATCTTGTCAGAAAAAATATCGAACATTAATTGCATCGCCATCAACAACTGTTCCACTTTTAGCTAACGGTGATAAATCATCTTTTACAAGAGATAATAATATTCGATATGAAGTGTGAAATAATTTTCTCAAAATATGTCTTAACGTTTGTCATACGTATGACAGAATATGGTAATTTGATATTTGCTTATAGTCAGATATTACTTGATATGTATTTGAAATGTGTTGTTCTCAAATAATGCTTCACTACACACACGTGTAAAATGGCCCGAGATGGTCATTTTTATTAAAGAGATATACAATCTTAAAGGTACTATTCTGATTAAATTAAAAGAACGGTATCCGGTAGGAATGAAACGACTTTTTTTTATTACCTTTTTTTATCTAAATATTTTCTTGTTGATGTTATTTGTTCATAAGATATTTGTATTGTGTTTTCTCTTTTATTCTGAATGTCAATACAGTTTTTTAGAAATACTACGATTCTCAATGTATTTTTTTATAACGAATATAGACGTACGTATGTCGGAAATGTTTTGAGATAAGTGGACAAATTAATAATGAACAAAAATGAATATGATACAATGTAGATGAGTAATTCGCATGTTAAACATTTCTTAAACAGTTTTCTTCCGTTTTATGAGAAGCGTACTTCAGGTTTCTATTTAAACCTTCATAGATAAATTTCGACTAAAATTACACTGATATACAGTGGGTCGAAAACTAATTCCAGATGTCCATCGGTAAATTTTTTGCAAACAACTCGATCGCATAGAGCAAACAAATAGGAGCTCCGCTCATCGGATCATCCGTATCCGACCCTGGTGTTAGAGAAACCAACAAGTTTTCTCCTTATTCCTGTCAGAACTGAAAGCTTGAGCAGCTCTAAAACCTTTGCTGTTGTTAAACGTAAATAAGTTTGATCTATGCTGTTTCTCTGATTTATAAATTTCTTTCCATAGAAAGGCGAAGAGCACTTCGTTAGGGATAATCACCTTAATGCTAAACTAATGGAATTAGTTAGCAGAGCAACAGACATTTGACTCGTTTTGTTCATTAAAAAATAAAAAGTTTATAGACGATGCATTATTACACTTTCAATCATTTTAGTTTTTCAGAAATTTTGTTTTTCAAGATTTGGAAAACACAATATTTCTATTGAGTTCTCTAAAGACATCGAAGTTAAAATAGGAAAACAGAAAACGCTTTTGTTTTGCGATTCCTAATATGTATAAAGAACATGATCTTTTCTTACAGAAGCTTAAACTTATTCGAGAACATGTTTGTTCTTGACAATAGAGTTCTAAAATTCGACTCGAACTGAACGAGTCGAGTATCTGCGACGTTTGGAACCTCATTCGACCCGGGTCGAATGAGGTTCTGAATGACGGTCGAGTTAAGATGTGGGTTACATAGTTTTCTCTACTTGTGCAGGTTTCCAGTTGACAATATTTATACTGAATAAAAAAATAATTCTACATATGATCACAGATATCGTATTGATTAAACAAGTTGACCGGTGAAAAGAGGAATTGAGATTCAGATTTTTGAAAAAGCCGAAGAACAGAAATGTGTTTTTCGACCTGATGTTTTCTGGAAAACAAATGTCCTATATAGGAATCTAAAATAATGAAAAACTCAATTTTTGTTCTTCCGGAAAATGAAAAAATTTTCAGAAAACTCACATCAGATCTCTATTTGGGACGAATGAAAAACACAGTTTCAGTTTTCTAAAGAACTCCTCTTATGAAATCCTATAGGATTTTCTGTTTTCATTCTTTTATGATCTACTATATTTACTGGGATATTTATTATTCCAGCAGTTTAAGAAGCAGCGCAGCTAACATTTCTAGTCATAAGCAGAGACCTGAATTTTGGGGGTGGGGGGGTGCGTACCTCAGGTCTACTCAGGTCCCTGGTCATAAGTGCCCAGTCAAAAACAACTTAAAACAATATAAATGACCTGCTAACGACATGGCTAACCACAGGGTTTCAAAAGGTGAAAAAATGATCAGTTAACAAATACCATTTATTGTCCTTCATCTGACCTTTAATTATGGCCTAAAAACTAGCAATTAATTGTGTGTTAGTAAGGCTCAGATTCAGATAATCATTAAATGACATTTTATTGCCCGTTTAATGGTCGTTACATACACAGACAAAGAACGGACATTTAACGTTTACCGTCTAACCCACTGTTTTATTTCGCTGACCTCACTACTATCTATTTCACGTTGTTTTCTTATACAAAATGTACAGTTTCGTTCTTCCTCGACTATATAACTCGTTGAAACTTGCGTTGAGAAGTAGCTACAGGTTTTAGTTATAGTACCAGTGATGGCACCGATCATACCTAGGAAACCGAAGATATTCAAAAATTTGATAAGTCATTTATTTCATGATAGTGGTCGGAAAGAAATTAGTCATGATCAACGATCGCATCCTTGACCATAAGCAGCCAGTAAGTACGCAAAAATGGCCATTAAACAGTCACAATCACATGCTTGCTTTCAGCTGTTTCTTGGCCGTTAAAAATATGCCACTTTTAGGCATTAACAAGTTACATTCCCAGTTGTAATCCCGAAAAATGGCCAAAATAATAAAAGTGAGCTTCTGATTTTAATTGACACTGATATCTAAAGAATTGGATTTTGTACGAATATAAGTTTTTGACGAGACCAAATAACACTACAGGACTGAAAGTTAGGTGTGAGTTACTAGCGTCAACATAATTTAAATTTTCGTCTTTCTGTCTTGATCAAGTTTTTTACGTTCTTTGACAATTGACGGCGGCGATCTTTGGCTCAAAGTCAGCATACAGTAAATATGAATATTTTCTGGAAATAAAGGGAAAAGTTCGAGTATCGTTTATATTCTCCATTTATGACATGAGTCTGTTAAGTAATGTTTAATTCGTCATTTTCCACAAGCGTTAATCAAGCTTAAATAGTTTCATGAAATTCATCGCTTTTTATATAATGACAACGTTTTGTATATCCTAGACGAAAATCTTTTAACAAATCTCATGAGAATCTTATCATGCTCTTACCAGATTCTTATACAAGTTTCTGCAGGAAAGTTCCAAGAATTCCGCACGAGCCCTATAAGAGTCTGATGAGAACCGTGGAATGAAAACAGGAAATAGATGAAAATCACATAACGGATGAGATTTTCATCTATTTCCTAACAAATTACTTGCAAGTATCTTATCTGATTCTTAGCAGATTCTGATAACTATAAATTTGTACTAACAGTATTATATTTTATCCAAAACTTTTTAAAAGAGTTAATTTGATATTGTTTTGGATAACAAGTAAACAAGAACAAGTAAAAGATTCCGTTTTATCCGGCAAAACACTCCAAACAAAACGCGTGTTCAACAATGGTCTGATATAGAAACGACAGACGTTCTATTTTCGAGAAAGTACACACTCTCATCTGGCGTGGCATAACTCTTCACTTTTTCATGATTTAACAGTCAAAAAATTGTATTATTAGAACACAATCTCGAAGTGCTCTTTCACAATTGTAGTCCGTTACAGCTCAATTGGTAAGAGCTCGTGGCATTGCATGACGCCGATCTCAGGTTCGGACCCTGCTGTTTTTTTTCCAATTTTTCTTGATATAGGATTGACATAGAACAACTTACGGAGCAAGCCTAGCGATCTCCAGATTCCAAAGAAAAATTTTTCAAGATAAAACTTCACAAGAAATACATAGGTTCTTATCACTTTCTTATGAAACTCTTACCAGACTCTTATCGAGTTCATAAGGAATTCGTGGGACTTCCCTGTCGAGTCTTGTTTAAGAATCTGGTACGAATATGATCAGACTCTTACACGAACCGTATTTGATGCTTATTAGTTTCCAGTATGGTTCTTAACTGATCTTTATATAAGAATCGACGACCACACTGCAAAAAATAAAGTGCTACAAAAAGTGTTTTTTATGAAAACTGTTTTGCTATAAAGCGCATGGCTAAACATAGCTCTTTCAGGTATGGAGAAAATAAACCACTTTTGATCTGCTGTAAACTACAGCACTTCATGAAAAAACACGCTTTCAAAGTGATTACAAAGAAAGCATTTTTAAAAATGTATAATAGAAAGATGCTTTTGAAGTGACCCAAGAGAAAAGAGTGTGAAATGAAGCATTTTTTTGAAAAGACACTTTTTAAAGTCATGTTGACCAGTCATTCACCTCTTTTATTTTGCTATTACTACTAATACATATGTAACGCTGATTTTCTTCGAATAACTTAGAATTTTTTCTCTTGAACGGCTATACAAGTCATCGAAGCTTGTCTCAAAGAAGTAGTCTTAGCCTCTGGATTAGTATTAGTGATAGTATCAGGGTTTTGAGACTGGTACTAAGAATAGTTCCATGATTCATAGGAACCAGAAATTCACAAAATTAGAAAATCATATTTATAAGTTCAAAATCAAATATAACGAAATTCGACAAATATCATTCGAAAAGTGGCCCAAAGAAAAGCACTTTCAAAAGCGATCTCTTGTGGCGCTGATCTTGTAGCGGCTTTTATTTGGTTTACTTGTCCGACAAGTACCCACTGGAGAGCACTTTTCAAAGAGTTCTCCAGTCAAAAACTTCAGAAGCACGGTCAAAAACAAACCGTTACAAATAGGATCAGCACCACCAGACAGCACTTTCTTTTTTTACAGCGCAGTGTACTGAACACATTGATGAGTTGTATGTTAGTCTAGCAGATATTGTACTGTTTATACGTTCAACATATGATGTTTGTCAAATTATTCTGATTATTTTCTTATGATTTAATCTTGAAGACAATGCACAACACAAGTATGCTCTGTTTTCACTATCAAAAGTATTCTATTTTACCGTCCAACTATATGGCGTGGATATGTGTGACACAGAAAAGCTTACAGTGTATAATACAAATGATAGTTTTATCCAGGGACGCCGAGAAGTACAAGAAGCAGGAAGTGGGTTCTCCGATTTCGCAGTAAATCTAAAAGTTTCAAAAATGAGAGTAAATATTTAATTTGTCTAATAATACGCAAGTTTTGACAGACAAAATGTTTTAGTTGCATAAAATTTCATACGCTCAAGTTCTTGGTATAGCTTCTGTAACAAAAC